CGTCGCTCTCTGCGAGTCCGGCTGTGACTTTGCAGCCGACTGATGCAGCGGCTTCGGAAGTGAAAATCTAGAGGAAATCCAGGAGTTTTCCTCCGGTAATCAAGCATGGTTAGCTGGGAAAATCCATGGAAATCACCTGTAAATAGAGGTTTTAATGGGAAAATCATCTAGAATGTGGGGATTTTCCATTGCCACGTTTACCTGAGTGTAACCCTTCAAAATAATAGAGGCACAACCATAGATTTTGGGGTGGTAACATCTCACCGAATCCTTGTCGGTTCATTTATGACGGGTGTTTTAAAAACGCCGTCATGTGATGTCATGTGATGTTTCATCTCCTAACCATCCTAAAACCCACTATATATACCGACTGGCAAATAACTCACGAAATTGTCTTCTAGTCATTTACAGCCACAAGTCTGGGCAAATTCAAACACCCCGCTACCACGCAAACAAAAAGAAAAACGACTCTTGCGGGGAAACATGAATTGTAAGTTCATATAACATATCATGTTTGCATAAAATAACATATCATGTTTGTTTAAAACAGAATAATTACCATTTGGTTATTTGACATAGCCATGGAAAATCACCATTTTTTATAGCTAAACCATCTATAAATGGGCCATCTATACCATGGCTATGTTAAATAACCAGAGGGTAAGTAGACCTTTCCGAACCCATCAGGTCCAGACCTCATTGGACTGATGCGCGCGCAGTAGCAGCGCGAGTAGAATCACCACCAGCACTGTCAGCAGCGCCACCTCAACACCGCTTTTGCCCAGGGGTTGTTCATGGGTATAGCCATGGTGAAAAAATTAACCCCCATAAATTGGAATATCACCCCTACATACCCCTACAACTATGGTTTTATATGTTTTATAACTGGAACTGCACGCCCCAAGCTGGCAAACATCTCAGATTTTTTCGAGTCAACACCTCTTCCTTCCAAGCAACCAGCGCCCAAAGACCGGCTTCGGTGGACATGGTGAAGCCCGGGCACAACTGCTGCGTGTGGAACTGTGATCTAATCAGCTGCCATTAAGAAATCTTCCCACTCACAACTCGCATGAAACAATTGGGAACCCAAAAAACACAGGAATATTCAGTGTGTTGAAACATGTTCAAGCGAAGTTGTAGGTTTTGTAATTGTAGAGGTTGCTAGAAGAATCTGTGGGGTCTCAAATGTGCTGCTTGGGCAACACCCAACTGCGAATTCGGCATCCGACAGGTTGAACAGGGTGCTGATATGCCCCGTTTCAACATCCCCCAACCAGAAAGGAACCAGGACCCACAACCATTTTGGGGTGGTTGTGATGTTTAAAATCTCCCAAATGGATCCGAATGGGACAAACCAACATCGATGTCCCCATCCCGGACCAGGGCCAACACACTGACATCATCTGACATATACTGACACTTGATGTTTAAATGTGTTTAAGCCATTGTCATCCCAAGCAATTCCGCAGTTCTGCACGGACCTTTTTACTGAGGAAGTTCCCTCAACTCAGCTCGGCCTGAGCCACGCCAGGCGGAGTGCAGTCAAGGCCCTTCTTTTGGGATGGATGGGCATGGTATTTCTAATACCCCACACAAGATAGTAGTGTGTTATAGTGTGCTCATGGGTTTTCAATTCTTTTCTTGCGGTCATTAGGTTTCAATTCCCTACCGGGTTTCGCACCTCAGTTACTAAGCCAGAATCAACATGAATCAACCAAATGCATTTATGACAAATCCCATCCAAATGTGAATGAGATTTGACATGAGATGACAAATATGAACCACCAAAAGCCTCAAACCTCAAACCATCCCCAACTGAGACTGCATTCACCTTGGGAAATTTACGTCATGGTGGAGGTAAAGCCCAACTATCAAGGGAGCAGTGAGTATAATATATATATATGTATACTATATGTTTTTGATTATGCTTGATTTTTAATTGCACATAATATTTTATTTATTCATTTTTTAATTTATGGATTTATTTATGTATTTTAATGGAGGCCTATCTTGTCTCAAGCCAACAGCCCACAGAGATCAACCGAAAAATCGATGTCGAAGCACTTTTCCATCTGGCCTTCATGTCGACACCCGCCAACACAATCAGGAGACTCAAACTCAAAGCAATTTCAACATGCTCCAACATTCGGGGTTTCCATAAATGGGGGTACCCCAAAATGGAAAGTTTACCAGTAGTACCGCACAAGACGGTGGCGGAAGTTGCAAACATAGGGAACCTATAGGAAAGATTGGTTATTGTGAATCACGGATGGCAGAGCGAATCCATGAATGGACCGAAAGATCGTTGGACTGTCAACTATCTACCTATCTACCTATCTACCTATCTACCTATCTACCTATCTACCTATCTACCTATCTACCTATCTACCTATCTACCTATCTACCTATCTATCTATCTATCTATCTATATCTATCGATCTATCGATCTATCGATCTATCGATCTATCGATCTATCGATCTATCGATCTATCGATCTATCGATCTATATCTATCTATCGATCTATCGATCTATCGATCTATCGATCTATCGATCTATCGATCTATCTATCTATCTATCTATCTATCTATCTATCTATCTATCTATCTATCTATCTATCTATCTATCTATCTATCTATCTATCTATCTATCTATCTATTCTATCTATTCTATCTAATCTATCTAATCTATCTAATCTATCTAATCTATCTAATCTATCTAATCTATCTAACCTATCTAACCAATCTAACCAATCTAACCTATCTAATCTATCTAACCAATCTAATCTATCTAATCTATCTATCTATCTATCTATCTACCTATCTATCTATCTATCTATCTATCTATCTATCCTATCGATCTATCGATCTATCGATCTATCGATCTATCTATCTATCGATCTATCTATCTATCTATCTATCTATCTATTCTATCTAATCTATCTAATCTATCTAATCTATCTAATCTATCTAATCTATCTAATCTATCTAACCAATCTAACCTATCTAACCTATCTAATCTATCTAACCTATCTAATCTATCTAATCTATCTATCTATCTATCCATCCATCTATCTATTCATCCATCTATCTATCCATCTATCTATCTATCTATCTATCTACATATCTCCCCATCTACCTATCTACCTACCTACCTACCTATCTATCTTTCTATCTATCTATCTACCTATCTACCTATCGATCTATCTGTCTATCTATCTATCTATCTATAACGTATCCATCTATCTTACTATCTTACTATCTTACTAGCTTACTAGCTTACTATCTTACTATCCATCTATCTATCTATCCATCCATCCATCCATCTATCTAGCGATCCTTCTTTTCTGTCTACTTATCTATCTGTCTATCAACCTATCCATTTTTCTGTCTTTTCATCCATGGGCTTAGCTCTCTATCTATGCAGCCGTCCATCCATCATCCTATTTTTGTCTATGTGTCCATCTGTCTATCTATCTATATGTTTATCTCCCTCTTTCGAGATCTATCTATTTCCTTCTCTCTCTGTCTGTCTTTCCAGTTGTCTTGCGGTCTATTCATCTATCTAGCTGTGCATCTTCTCATACAGCTATCCATTTTATCTATTTAAGTACCCAAGCGTTTTACCCATCCATCCATGTGATTTTTCATCTTTCCATCCAAACAGTTTGACAGCAAGCAGTTAACATTTGCACAAAAAAACAAACAGCGCGAACAGACCCGAATTTCAGTGGTGGTGTAACTTCCAAAACTTACAAATGTGAGACATCCCTCTAGCGCCATCCCTTTCGTGCACAAAACTCAACATTTTTTCGCTTGCGTTTGCGGACGCAACGAGCACCGTCCGTGACTTCGTACCGTCAGAAAACAAGTATGAAAAATGGCAAGCAAACATCCGGAACTGACATCTTCAAGTAGCCCATTCGGTGACGTCAGAGAAGACAGACAGGGCACGGTACAAACACGACAACACAGTTGGAAGAATATGTCTGGCATGCCCAGGGCATGCCGTCAGACATTGTAAAGGAGCCAAAGCAAAGCCATTGGCTTCACGCGGTGTGCTTTGCTGCATGTGTTCGATCTTCGGTGCGGCTGCCGGCCGACGCGGTCAGAAAATGTCCCACGCCTGCTGTCGTTTTTTGGAAATGCTACAAAACCCTCACGTTTTGGCTCACTTTTGGCAAGGTGCAGAATCCCTTGCGCGTGCCACGCAAAATCACATCTGAACCTTCAAAGGTGGTCCGAACATGGTGTGCTTTGTACATTTTGACTTGGAAATGTGCTTCGCACCACAACAGCATACACTTTTTCAACATCTCAACTTCCAAAAGTGCTCCGAGCATGGTGTGCTTTGCGCGTTTTGACTTGGAAATGTGCTCTGCGCCACAACGGCGTGCACTCTTTCGACATGTCAACTTCCAAAAGTGGTCCCAACATGGTGTGTTTTGCACAGTTTGACTTCCAAATGTGCTTCGCGCCACAACTGCGTGCACTTTCGACCATGTCAACTTCCAAAACTGGTCCGAAATGGTGTGCTTTGCGCGTTTTGACTTGGAAATGTGCTTCGCGCCACACCGACGTGCACTTTTTCGACCATGTCAACTTCCAAAAGTGGTCCGAAATGGTGTGCTTGGGCATTTTGACTTGGAAATGTGTTTCGCGCCACACCGGCGTGCAATTTTTCATCTCTCATCTGGCCACATGGCTCCGCACCCGCCGCTTTAGCGAGCCTACTTTTCGACCCTCCGGAGCCACAAATCATTGGAAAAACAGAGTGAATTGCGACTTTTCTACCTTCTCGCGCGCCTGCAATTTTCTTTCTTCTCACTCTTTCTCTTCTCTGATCTTCTCTTCTCTGGCTCTTCCCACCTCTGCTTTTCCATCTGTGCATATTGTCGGAAGTTTGACTTCTAAACTTCCTTCGATAATGGAACTTCTGAACTTCCTATCAAAATGGATGAGAACTAGGGGTACCCCGATTGGAAACCTCCATTTATATATCTTCAATTTGCTGGCGGAAAGTATTGATATTCTTGACCTGAAGCCGAAGTCCATGTAGTCTCACCTCTCTTGTTGATGAGGACCAAATTGCCATCGGCATTCAAGAAGAGCGCATTCTCACCGCTCAACTCTTCCAGCGATGGATCGCATGTGTTTGTGGCCCAAGGGGCCACGGTGCTGTCTTCATCACAGAACAAAACCTTAGGAGTTACGGAGATCTCCAGCATCCCAATGGGGGAAATTGGAAATCAAAAATCTCTGCACCAAACTGCCAAACTGATCAAACTGGTTTGTCTGGAAAGATATGGAAAGGAAACTTTCGCAGCTGCACCGGGAAACCAGGTTGCCATCCTCTTGCATCCTGAGATGCGCGGTACTTTCGCTGGCTTCGCAACCCTCATCACTGGTCCAAAGGGTGCTTCCTTGCCATTCCTTCAGCGTGGGTTTCCCCCCTTCAAGGGAGAACTCGAACTGCTTCCAGGAAGATTGCACCAAGCGCATGCCCACCGTTAGACTATGAGGGCTGGTCAAGTTGCTGGGTCCAAAGCCCAGTGGAATGGATTTGGTACTCGACCAAACGCCCGACTGATTCCCCACATTGTACATGGCCAGTGCGCCATCGTTCTGCATGGCTACCACGCGGCAAATGGGCACAGCTGCATCTGTCTGGGTCTGCCACAGGACCTCTTCACCACAGTAGAGCACCAGATTGCCATCGTTTTCAAAGCGAAGTTGGAGTGAAGATGCATCGCCGCATTCTTTGGCTGTGTCACTGGTCCATTTCACCTCGTCAAAGAGGTCATAAATGACCAGGTTGGCATCCTCCTGCAGCACGAACCTGGGCACTTGAACAAGTTCTGAAAAATCATTGGAGATCATCATTCCAGCTGTATGGATGGAATATGGATGAAATATAAACATAATAAACATTCATGTTTGAAACCAAGCAACCTGTACATGTTGTTGGGGGGAAGTAGGCCACTTTGCACTTTCAGCATCTCGCCAGTCTTCAGCAGGTCCGAAGCCAAATCGAAAGACCCAGCAGATTCCCAAACCGGGAGCCCGGTGTACTCAAACATCGGCTCCATATGACCCAAACGATATTCTCCGCTGTCTTCCAAGCGAACTCTGTGCAAACCTGGTTTCTTTTAGATGTGTTTTTTGTCGCCAAAACGGCAACTAAAATGAAAGTCAATGGAAATCATCATCCTATTTTCGGGGACAAAATGGGTTGAGAGATATTGAAACCACCAACCAGGGACTAGCTCCTACCAGTTTGTAGGTGTCATCATCCGTAACGTAGGCGTCGCCATGAGTATCACAAGTACCGCTCCCACGACTTGTGTTTTCATCATCAGAGGTAAGGATCTCTATGTGAGTCATGTGCACGTCGTTGAAGCAAAGATGTGCAAGTTTCGAAATGTACCTGGGAAGACAAGGCCCGAAATATCACTAGTGAGTTCTAACCCCATTGATTATACCAGGTAGTGCCCGGCACGCGCCGGCGCGGAAGTTTCAAAAATAGGACATGACTATAGGAAATCAATAGCCTATAGGAAAGCTTTTGCGATGCAGAAGCAATGAAGTGTTGAAGTTGTGAGCGAAGAAAATGGTAGACAAAACATGCATGATTATGGTTGTTCAAAATTATGGTTCCCCAAGACTGCCCTTACGCCGCGCTTTCGACCCTTTTGCGCCCTTTCCCGCCCCAGCAGAATCGGGACAGGGAATTGTGATCATGTTTTCGTGTCAATATTTCGTGTAAACAGTGGTATTCAAACCCTTCGCAAACCTTTTGGCGCGCTTTCGCGGCCTTTGGCCGCAGCAAAAACACAGGTCCATATCTGCAGATTCCACTCGGATACTAAAAGGTCTTGCATGGGTCTTAGAACGACTCCCATACATAACCAGACACGCACGGAGTAGGAATAGAAATAAAGGATCGGCAAGTCTTTCGAAGTAGTCAAAACATGGTGGCGGCGCCTGTGGAGCGACCGCGCTCTTTCATGTTTTTCAGAGGTCGTTTTAGAGGTTCAAAGCACAATTCCCTGTAAAACGCAGGACTTTATTCATGAACCTTGCTCGATCGATGTTAAAAAATGGTTCAAAAACATTGGAGGCGCGCCTCAAAGTTAACTTCGTGTCGTTTTCGCTGTAGCGAAAACGCGATTTTTGGAAAAAATGGATTTCGAAAACATATTCCTGAAACACATTCGAAGCTTTTTTACATCTGCGGTCTGCTCACTTCCAGTATCCGATCTTCTTGTTGATCGATTTCATGAGTTTTCCAAGTTCCTGCAGTAAATCCAAGCCAAGTCCAATTTTGTCCCTGAAGTTACTTCAACATCTTCACAACGTAGCATCCAGAGCGTCCCTGAAGTTACTTCAACATCTTCACAACGTAGCATCCAGAGCGTCCCTGAAGTTACTTCAACATCTTCACACCGTAGCATGCCGTAGCATCACATCCTTCCGGCAGCCGACATGAACGTTATAAGCCCACCCCATCCCCCCCCCACCCCACCCCACCCCATGCTCTGACGCAGCGATTGAAACAGGACGAACATCCCCAAGAACCAGACATTCACGTCAAATCAACATGAAAACATTAAGACCAACTCAAGATCACATGGTAAAATTTACAACAGTGCGGTCGCCTGAGAGGCGCCGTCACCCAAAACATATCTAAAACCATAAACCAAAAGCATTCAGCAGTTCTTAACTCAGACTTGGCACTTGTCATCGGAAAGCTGGAGCTCTGTGATATCTCCACCGCTGCCACCCCCAATGCAGCTTTGACCGTCCTCAAAATCAATGAGGATCTGATCGATATCTGCACCTGAACGGATGGTAAACTTGACAATCTCACCAGGGCCACTATACCCGTAGCTACCATGATCATAGTCACAATCATACCTGGGGTCGATAGTCCCTTTCCCCTGGTACTTCACATAGGAGATGGGCTGTGTGTAGGCTGCATAGGGCCCAAGCGTCACGTACTTGATGGCAGGGAGCACTTGAACGGCTGCACTTTCCATGCCCGGAATGTAGCGTTGAAGGTACATCACAGGTTGCAACGCCTGAACTATGGACACTGCGTAGCTTCGTACAATGCGGTCCTTTTGCCACGCACAAATATCGTTGCAGCTGATTGAGTCCGAGTAGTCAACTTCCACATCAAACCTTCGGGTGGCTTAAACGAACCGTGACGTCACTGGAGACCATCCCGGTTTTTGTAGCAGAAAAGTGGACAAACACCCCCCCCAAAAAAAAAAATACCAGGAACTCTTCTCCAGTGAGGTCATCTTTGACTTTGGCTTTGCAGTCCCTTCTCCTGGTGGCTCCTTTTCCAGAGTCAACGTCGTCTGAAAGTTGCGATGCGCGCCAGGAGTACCATTCGCCATACCTGGTGTTTTCAAGAAACCAGAGTTTGAACATGTGAAATCAATGAGGGTCATCATTTAAGGTACGGATGGATTGCTGTATCAAATCATATTATATTCCCATGCTGCCCATGCTTGTTATTTATAGTTTCATCATTATCGCCGGTCAAATCCTGTGTGAATCTTCATGAAACTGGTTCCTTCAGCCTATACTTGAATTTGTCTGGAAAAAATGGCACCCCAAATTCCCATGCTTTATCACCACTCCTCCCATGAAATAACAAGTCTGTGTGCTAAATTTCGGCTAAATACTAAACCCATCCAAATTCCTTATTTTCAGAATTAGCCAGAGGTTCGAATGCTTTTCGCATTGTTCAATCCCCATTTCCACATCCCAGCTTTTTTTCTTTGGCACCAGGCCACGCGTAGTTGAAATAGCTTTGATAAAACGCCACCGCGGCCTGAAGCTCCATCTGCCAGGAGCTATCAAGGTCACCATAGAGCGTTGGCCCAACGATGGCCCTCAGGCGTAGGATGGTGCAATGGATTGTCGCCTGGGATGCGGCCCAGCGGCACAGCCAAAGAGATGTTCAAAACAAAATGAGCCAAAACCTAGAGATCTACACCATGTGGGGGTTTCCTGAAATGGGGGATCCTTGATTTTGGATGGTTTATCATGGAAAATGCCATGGAAATGGATGATTTGGGGGTACCCCTATTTGAGGAAACCTCCATGCATACTTTACTACGGAGCAAAAGGGACTCTTGAATTCCGTCATGTTCTGGGGTCGGCTTTTTCAGTGGAAGGCACTTTGCCGAATGGAGATGTGGTGTGAAAAATCCAAAGTGAACCTCAACTTGCAGGCCTTGAATATCAACACTGCACCGGCATAAAGCATCCCATCCTGACATGTGTCTCCTAACAAACCCAATTTTTCTAGTATTGGCCGTTTGACTCCCACAGCAAAAATCAAGGTAAGATATTAAAATATTTGTAGTTTCATACAAGTATCAAATATGATCATGCTCTACAAGATTAAAATATAATGCTAACCTTCACCAGTAGGTGTATCCTGATTTTTTGGGTCAAAACCCACATTCTGCGGGTTAAACGCCAACGTGTTCACAGTTTGATGAATTTTGAAAATCAGTTTGTGTCAACCCCGGGTAAACCAAAAAAAACACTTGGTCAATTAGGGGAATATCTGTGTCTATATCCCCAAATAATGATGCCGTTGAAATTCCCAAACTAACCAGCCCCGGGGCTTCTTAAATGCTATTGTTCCAAGGTCTACAAATCAGTTGAAAAAAGTTACAGTAATCACATCTATGTAACAGCATCTATTTGATAAGATAATGTCGTGCACTTTAAGTGATTTAATAAGTTAATAACCCCGGACCCCTGATTTCTGATATCTTAAATAGTGTAAACTACCATAGCTATTTTTCAAATCACCATTTTTGGAATCGGTGCATCAACTGTAACAATGAGCCATTTTCGATAGCTATGGAAACATAAAAAAAGCTATGGAAAATCACCATGTTCAATGGGTAAAACCACTATAAATGGGCCATGTTCAATAGCAAACTGTTAGTTTACCAGAGGGTACTGTGAGTCCCCAAATTCTGATGTCCAGCTACTGTCGCGATGGTCAGGGGAATGAACTGGACATGACTCTCGGAAGCTGTGAGGTGTGCCATGACATCCTCCGTCTTGGCCAAAGCAATGCCTTGGTGCCGAAAGGGACACCAAGAGATAGAAAAGATATGAACAGGTTGCAGTCGGCACAAAATTTTTGGGTGGAGCTCATTGATCTTAGGGTTCAATACATGGTGTTTCCCCTCCCCCCAAGCATTTCAAGCAAGAAATCTGGTTACCGTGATGTTGGCAGGTGGGAATGCCAGATGAGAAGCTAAGAAAGTTTCCGCGGTCGGTGTCGGACTTGCTGTTCGTAAACCGCAGCAGGTCCCTCCTGATGATGCTTTTCAATGGCTATGTTAGTTTGCCGGAGGGCAAACATCTTCTGCGAATCAAACATCGCAATGGATAATCACAATTGATAGATGATGTTCCCGCTACATAATTAAATGTTTATTGATGGGCACAGTATTTCCCATTGCCATGTCATGTTTGGTTACTGCAGAGTAAATTAAATACGACATATTTATTGGATACGACCCTGGGATAAAAATGACATCAGGCATTGACAGAATACAACCAAAGAACACGTCATCAATACTCATGAACGGCATTGTTTTCTGGGTTTCTTCTGGCTATGTGTCGAAGTGGTAGGCCGCCAAAAAGTTAAATCCAAACATATTCCCTGCTGAACTTGGGGTCACGAGGCCGCTTTTTTTGTACCCAGCTGCTTCTGGCGGAAATATCATAACTCACTCGCCTGAAAACATCTATTATCATACGGCCATGATTTGGGATATTCCTAAAACTAACCATCATCTCGTGGTGACATTGAATTTGAGATCCTTATAATTCAGCCAGATCATGCCAGATCGATCTTCCATTACGTATCACCATTGCATTCCCCTTTTATACCACCATGTTTCCCTTTTTTATGATTATTCCCATTTTATACCACATTTTTCCATTTTTCATGAGGAAATCCAAGTCATGGTCCCCTCCTGATGGCCAAGAGGTCGGCATAGCGATCAATCAATTCCTTCTTCAGGATGGCCAAGTCAACCAATTTCTCCACCTGGTGGGGCCAAGGGGGTCACCCTGCGTCATAGAAAAGTCTGCAGGCGGGAAATATATGGAAATAATTATGAGGTAATTTAGGGTAAATACAGGGGAAATATGGGTAAACACCATATATACCATATATATATATACCATTATATACCCTTTTTGGGGTTTACTCTGTAGTTCATGGCGCTTAAAAACTCATAAACCTACTGTAACTTGGGGACCTTGTGAAAGCAGCGTTGTTGGATGTTTGCATTTTCCTTGCCGTTTCAAAACAGGCTGCATCTTGCCCAGGCTGAAAATCTGACCATATACAGATACATGTGTTTTCCGTTCCAATCATCGTAGTAGTCTCCCAATGCAATCCTGGTCCAAGTTCCTCTTTGAATGGCAAGCCCAATGCAAAACCTCCAATTGGGAGTGGTTTATTTTGTACATCACCCGTTTCTGGCAGAATTGGTTACTTACGGCTTTGGGTTTACCACGCTGTTTGGGGGGCTTGTGTCCCCAACATCAGGCAACCCATAGCTTTCTTCCGGCCTGGCCAACGATCAGCTGCCAAATGTCATAAATGCTGGCAGAGGTCGGCCAAAAAATGTCAACAATCGTGGTCAAGATTCCACCAGCAAAAGGAATTGTACCTCAGCGGGAATGAGTGGCAGCTGCAGGTGTATAGCCTGCTTCAACTCGCCTGAAGAAAAATCCCAACCCTTCCCAGGAAAAAAGAAGGCACAAATGCTGCGTGCATACAAGATTATACAAATATATATATATATATTATATAATATATATATATATATTACAATATGTATACAACATGGACTGCTCATTCGACCAAAGGTGCTTAAGAACTTCTTGGAGACTTTCTTGGCCGCAGATTTCCCCGCCAATTCGGCTGCGTTCTCTCCCACCTGCTGCAGACGATCGGTCCATGACTTTGTTCCAATGGTCAGTCCGTCGCTCTCAATGACCTCGTACTCAGCTTCCAATTCTCCTGCAGCGCCCCGCTGGAGGGTACATTTGGGGCATGGCTGGGCGCCTTACAATGTCGGCGCCTTAAAGGAAACGACCGGCTTAAGACTCATACAGCCCATCGAAAATGTCCATGTTTATCTTGGCTTATGTTAGTTTATATATATATATATATGTGTGTGTGTGTGTTATATCAATTTTAAAGATCTTGTGTTTTTGCAAGATCCCATCTCCCCACATGGTCAAATTGGGTTCCCATCAAGTATACATCTGGATGTAACGGCGCCTGTAACCAGCTCCATGGCCTCGTTCACATCCTCCGCAATGGCCCAGTTGGAAAGCCCCACGAGTTCTGATTCGATGTACTGCACTTTCTGGTCATCTGAGGCTGAGCACGTCTCCACCTGAAATCCATCTGCTAACATGTGGAACATCTTCTGGATTCGACAATAAGAAGTTGGCCATCCTAGAAAAACAGCAATCAGAGGGATTTTTATGGATATTCCCAAATCATCCCAAATGAAAGAACACATATTGAAGGTACCAACCCGCTCAGCATTCAGTTCCGTATTCCCCGCCTTCTCATGCTGCTTTTTCGCAGGCCTGGAGATTTGGAGAAGCCCCAGCTGGTCAGTGCCATTACACATCTGCGGAGCAGCCCCACATGGAAGCAACGTTGACAGAATCCAACATGTCAAGACCAAAGTCCACATTGGGCGCGTTGGAAAATTTCAGGGCCCTCGCTCTGGCAAGACTAAACGCTTGTAATGGGAACTATAAAAGTCTGCGGAGGCGTTGAAAAGCCCAGGAGGCTCACTTGCAGTTGGGCAAACCTGCAGAATTTCTGCCAAATGGGCACTCTCGTTAAACAGTAGATTTGGGATGAAAAAATGTGGCAGCTCAGCCCACAGTGTAGGGCAAAAAACATGTCAAAACGTGTCAAAACCAAAGCTACGACTGGGACGAATCGCTGGCAGCTTTTAGCTGCCACAAATTTTCCAGCTGGCCGTCCCCTAACTGAGGCGGCTACTTGCTATGCGGCCGTATCGAGGAGTTGCCACCCTCAGAGATGATCGGGGTTCGAATTTGGCGCAGCCAGCCTCTCAAAATAATACCATGTGGAACAATGTTTAATACTAGTAGGGAGAGGGAATTGCATTTTTCTCGAATCAGAATCTGATGGAATGTGATATGCATATGTTCCATTCTTTCAAAAATAAATGGTGTCACACAAAGAATTGCCAACATCTGCGCTCCTCGCCCCACGCCTATATTTCACTAATGTTCCATTGGGTTCTTGGCAAGTTCAACTCCCAAGAAAAAACAAACTTGAGAGGGGGGGGACGAAAGGTAGGGGGGGGAAAGGCAGGAGGGAGAGGCAAGAGAAGGTGCGACTGTTTGTAACGCAAGCACGCCGACGACGACGACGACGATGACGACGACGACGACAACTACTTCTACTTCTACTTCTACTTCTACTACTACTACTACTACCACTACTACTACTACTACTACTACTACTACTACTATGAGGACTACTACTACTACTACTACTACTACTACTACTACTACTACTACTACTATGAGGACTACTACTACTACTATGAGGACTACTACTACTACTATGAGGACTACTACACTACGACGACGACTACTACTACTACTACGACGACGACTACTTCTACTACTATGACTACTACTACTATGACGACGACTACTACTACTACTACTACGACTACTACTACTACTACTACCACCACTACTACTACTACTACTACCACTACTACTACTACCACGGCTACTACTACTACGACGACTACTACTACTACTACTGCTACTACTACTACTACTGCTACTACTATTACTATTACTATTACTTCTACTACTACGACTGCTACTACTACTGCTACTACTACTACTAATACTACTACTACTACTACTACTACCACTACCACTACCACTACCACTAACACTACCACTACCACTACCACTACCACTACCACTACCACTACCACTACCACTACCACTACTACTACTACTACTACTACTACGCCCAGGCCCGTTACACTTTACATTCAATTGAGAAGATCAACAAGGGTATTAGGGAATATTAAACTCCCACCCCTGTTAAACTTTACATTGAATTGGGAAGATCAACAAGGGTAATCAAGGGTATTAGGGAATATTAAACTCCCACCCCCGTTAAACTTTGCATTCAATTGGGAAGATCAACAAGGGTATTAGGGAATATTAAACTCCCACCCCGGTTAAACTTTACATTCAATTGCGAAGATCAACAAGCGGATTCATGACTTCGTGGAAATTGCGTTGAAGAGTTTGCCGATTTCTAACGTTAGATGTATAAGGTAGGCATTTTGGACAAGAATCGGTTGGAAAGAAACTTTTGGAGTTTGAAAAGCTCACCCAAGCAGCTGGAATGTTTGTGTGCTTGTTGTTGGTGAATCGTTATTCTTGTAGGTATACCGTGTTGTCAGCACGCGGACTCGTTGGACGGGCCTCCAGGGAGTCGACTGAGCTAGTTGTTGACGCTGTGGAGGCGCTTCCGCCACGACTACATAAAGTATCGTTTTTTTGTTCTGTACAATGACGTTCCGAACTCCGAATACGTGGACCCGGTGGAGGGGCCTCCAAAGGGTCAACCAAGTGAGGGGTTGACTCTGTGGAGGCTCTCCCACCGGATCCACAGAAACTATTGTTTTTGGTTAGTTGTTGCCTTTGTGATTTCTAGCAAGTTTACATAAAGTCCAACCGGGTCCACAGAAACTAATGTTTTTGGTTAGTTGTTGACCTTGTGATTTCTACCAAGTATACATAAAATATCGTTTTTTGTTCTGTACAATTACGTTCCGAACTCCGAATAGGTGGGCCCGGTGGAGGGGCCTCCAGAGGGTCAACCAAGTGAGGGGTTGACTCTGTGGAGGC